GCACCAGGTTTCTCCCTTACCCATAATGGCTCTTTGGATCAAGACATCTCTTTCATTGCTCTCCCTTTCCATCCCTCCCCCAACTCAGCCATCTTGATCCTTCATATTCCCCTCCTCCACCCCCTCCCTTCTACTCTCCTCCCAGTTTACCCAGTAGATCTTAACTATTTCCCCTTCCTAGGGCTCTCCATGCCTGTCTCTCTTAGGGTCCTCCCTTTTACCTAGCTTCTCTGGGGTTGTGGATTGTATCCTGGTTATCCTTTGCTTTGCATCTATTATCCACTTATGAGTGAGTACATACTGTATTTGTCTTTCTGTGCATGGGTTACCTCACTCAGGATGATTTTTTACTAGTTCCAACCATTTGCCTGCAAATTTCATATTATTGTTTTTTAATGCTGATTAATACTTCATTGTGTAAATGTACCTCATTTTCTTTATCCATTCTTCAGATGAGGGGCATCTAGGTGGTTTCCAGGTTCTGACTAGTATGAATAATGCTGCTATGAACATAGTTGAACAAGTATCCTTGTGGTATGATTGAATATATTTTGGGTATATGCCCAAAAGTGGTATTGCTGGGTCTTGAGATAGTTTGGTTACCAATGTTCTGATAAACTGCCATACTGGTTTCCAGAGTGGCTGTACAAATTTGCACTCCCACTAGCAGTGGAGAAGTGTTCCTCTTACTCCACATCTTCTCTAACATAAGCTGTCATCAGTGTTTTTGGTCTTAGCCTTTCTGACAAGTGTAACAGCTCAGTGTCTTTTTGATTTGGCTTTCCCTGATGCCTAAGGATGGTGAGCAATTCCTTAAATGTCTTTCAGTTATTTGAGATTTTTCTGTTAAGTAATTTTTGTTTAGATCTGTACCCCATTTTCTAATTAAATTATTTGGTATTTTGATGTCTAATTTCTTTTTGGAGTTCAGCCCTCTGTCAGATGTGGGGCTGGTGAAGACATTTCCCCATTCTGTAGGCTGCCATTTTGGAACTGAACTAGGCCCTCTGAATGTAGGCGACACTTGTGAGGCATGAACTGTTTGTGGGGCCCCTAGCAGTGGGACCAGAATTCATCCCAGGTGCATGAACTGGCTTTTTCGAGCCCATTCCCTATGGTGGGATACCTTGCTCAGCTTTGATGAAAGGGGGAGAGGCTAGGCCCTGCCTCAACTTGGTGTGCTAGCCTCTGTTAACAACCCAAGGGAGGTCTTACCCCCTCTGAGGAGTGGATGGGGGTTGGAATGGAGGGAGGTGGGGAGGAGGGAGAAAGGGAGAGAGGGAGGAACTGGAGATGGTATATAAAATGAAAAAAAAAACCACTTTAATTAAAAAAAAATCAGTAGCATAAAAAGTAGTATAAAAATCCTAAAAAATAAACAGTACTTTTGTTATACTCAACCTAACTACAGATAATTCTTTTCTTTTAAGATTTATTTCTCTACAAGCCTTATCAATGTCTTTCTATATTCCAGACAAATAATGAATGGCATTTATAGACACAGCCATTATGCATTCAGTAGAAACTTATCTAAAAAAATAAGAAGTAAACAAACTTTTTACATTTTGTTATGCTACATCTGTCAGCATTATACAGATTATATGTATGTATATGTATATTCCTGCTGATATTCCAAGAACATTTTCTGTTGCAAATACAAATATTCTTTTTAATAATACAATGAAACAGAGACACTAAAACCTAACACTGCCTTCTTGTGATACTAGTTTTATCTTGATAATTTTATAATTTGTACACCAAGTTAGATATTAAAATGTTGACTCATAACTTTATTTACAACAATAGTATATGATCAATTAACAATTACATCATATAATGCAGGACAAAATACATGTCAATACAGACAAAATATATGTCCACCTCATATAGAAAAAATTCCCAGAATTCATATAAAGGGAGCTCTACACTCAGGCTGATTCTAAAATTAATCTTTCAAATTTACATATTAAGTTTGCCAAGCAGAAAGCATTTTAGCCATTACATTCCTTCCATTTCTTTTGCTTGGATAGAATACTCTGACCTTCCAAAACATTGATTTAGAGAAGAAAAGGGTTTGTTTTGCCTTATACTTCCAGGGTATAGAGTTTGTCATAATGGTGAGGGCATTGCACAGGGAGTGTGAGGCTCACCCACCAGGCAATGGGGAGGCAGCCAGACCATATTCAGTATTCACACAGGAAGCTGAGAGAGAGAGAACAGCAAATGGAGTCAAGCTAATCTAACTCAAATCCACCTGGAGTGACTTCTCCTAGTATAAGCATACACCTCCTAAAAGACTCCAAAGGATTTGTATGCAGACACATTTTGTTTTTCTTAAGAAGATAAAACTCCAGCTGTCTTTAGACTTTATATTAGATGTTCATTAGGATCTTATCATGGTGGGGAACTTAACATATGTTCCCCAAATTATCAGTGGATGGAATCATTTTCTGATCAATAGGGACACTAGGGATGACTAGAGGGAAAAGTAGCCACCTAAGCACTAGTGATGACCAAATGTCAGGTAAATATGGGACAGATCATCTTTATGTAGACCAGGATAAACTACAGGCAAGATTGGTACTAAGCAAGTAGTTGATAACCAGTCCAGGATGCTATACTTTCATATAGTTCCCCTTCTTCCCTTTAGATATGCAAGCAGGAGTGGGAAATGTAGCTTAGTCCTGCTACAAATTAAAAGAGAATTTTTTTAACCTAAAAAACATTAAGTGTGGTAGTTTTATCTGTAATGACATTTCACCCTCAGATAGTTAGCTCTAATAATAGAAAAGGATGTTACCTTAAGTCCACATGATAAACTTGACCTTTTGATCATTTTACTCAGTCTTCCACATATCATAAAGAGATAGGGATATATGAACTTTCTACTTGGTTATTATACTGGGCACAGCTGGATTGCATGTAATTTTGACTAGTCTAGCTATGATAATTATTGCTACATGTTGTTTTGTGTCCCACATAAAAACTAAGTGACAGATCCTGTGACCACTTTAATTTTTTATTTATTTGCATTGAGTACTGTATATACATATATGCATATATGTAGAATGCTCAATTAAAATGCACAAGTACATATTTATAAATGTGAGTGTTTGGGTTATTTATTAAAAGGCTTGATAAATATATACTGCCTTATACAGGTAGACTAAAGTTCTTAAAAATTATTAAAATTGTATTTGGAGGTTGATTAAGTGTTTTGTAAAAGCCCTAACATGTTGTTTGTATAAAACACCAATCATCGAAATTGTAGGACTAATGTTTCATTAAGCTATAAGAGTTAATGTTATTCACATAGATTTGACAAAGATTTTCTTCCAAAACAGGTTCTAATGAAAAAATTAATTATAATTTTATTTCAATTAAGTAATAGTCATGGGAAAAGTAAGAATTATATGGCATAAAATGTTTTATGTTAATCAAAATGCCCCTTACAAATGTACTTTAAAAACCCTTATTGAAATAGTTTTCAAAATTATTCCTTTTTTATTTAAAGGGTTTTTTTTTTCATCTTACATATCAACTGCAGTTTCCTCTCCCTCCCTCCCCACCTTCTCCCCATCCCACTCCCCATCTACTCCTCAGAGAAAATAAGACCTCCCATGGGGAGTCAATAAAGTCTGGCACATCAAGTTGAGGCAGGACCAGCCTCCCCCCCCCCCACACACACAGCCCCTATTGAGGCTGAGCAAAGTATTCCTCCATAAGGAATGGGCTCCAAAAACCTGGTTCATGCACTAGGGAGAAATCCTGGTCCCACTGATAGTGTCCCAAAAAATTGCCCAAGCCACACAACTGTCACCCACATTCAGAGGGCCTAGTTCAGTTCCATGCCAATTCCCAAGCTGTTAGTCCAGAGTCAGTAAGCTCCCATCGGCCTAGGTCAGCTGTCTCTGTAGGTTTCCCCATCATAATCTTGACCCTTTTCTCATATAATCCCTCCTCCCTCTCTTGGACTGGACTCCTGGGAGCTCAGCCCAGTGCTTAGCTGTGGATCTCTGCATCTGCTTCCATCAGTTACTGGATGAAGGTTCTATAATGAGGATTAGGGTAGTCATCAATTTGATTACAGGGAAGACCAGTTCAGGCACCCTCTCCACTGTTGCTTGGAGTTTTAGCTGGGGTCATGCTTGTGGATTCCTGGGAATTTCCCTAGCACCAGGTTTCTCGCTAACTCCATAATGGCTCCTTCTATCAAGACACCTTTCCTCGAAATTCTTAATATATAAATGAAAATGGTAAGGAAGGCTCTTACTGAGCTGTAATACATGTAAAAAGGACATATTTTCGAAAATCTTTTTTATTTTAAAATTTTTTTCTTTTCATAATTAGGATTTCAGGAGGGAGATAGAATCCCAACAAATAGTCACATTCAAAATTTGAGTATTTCAAAGTTCTTATCTCATCCAATTTATAGTAAAAGAAAAAAAGACATTATTTTAAAATGAAGCTGTCAATGACTGCTCAACCTGCTCAAAGCCTCATCACTGTACAGGCTGAGTTTGGGGTCTTTAAAAATCAAGTTTTCTGCTTAGTATTGACTCACACCTTTAAGAGTATAAACTTGCAATTAACAATTGCTTAAAGCTACCATAAAAAAATCCAAATGGTGTAACTTAAAACTGGCAAGTTACAGATGTAAGTAGAAGCTACAAAATCAGATTTGACAACCAAGAACCCACCTTCAGTTACAGCTATGTGCATCTATGTACTGTCTACACGTGCTTAGGTTTTCTATCATGTACATAGTGCCAAAGTAGTTTATAAGTAAGTGTAAGTTATAATTACTAAATTAAATCCAAATTAGTTCGTAATGTAACTGAAGTTTGAAGGTTAATGTAGTTAAGCTTATGAAGGGGCAGGGCAGAGAGCTCTGAGCTTCCTCTTGGGGGTTGGGTCCTGGGGTAACAGGAAGGAGTGGTTAGGACCTCTGTTTAGAGAGAGGGGTGGGGCTGTGAGGACAGGGTGTCTGTGCTGTCTGGGTCAAAGGGCATCAGAGGGAAACGGAGGGGTGTGGTGCAGAGGGGATAGGAATATATTTAGCCGAGAGCCCTGTAAGTCTAGGAGCCCTGAGCCTCAGCTCAGATCCTCAGTCCTCTGGAGTCTGTTCAAATACCAGCCATGCTCGCCGCCGCGGGCTCCCTGGTGGCCGCCATCTGGGCAGGGCTCCATTTCCGGACTGTGCTGCTGGCTGCTGTCGTCTTCTTGTTTCTGTCTGACTACTTCAGAAGCCGGCGCCCCAAGAACTTCCCTCCAGGGCCGCGACGCCTGCCCTTCCTGGGCAACATATTCCAGATAGACTTTAAGCAGCCCCACCTGGCGGTCCAACAGGTAGGAAGGGACAGTGCCTGGCTCTGCCCTGACCTAATCCTGAACTTCCGGGACTGGGGTGGGGTGGGCAGGGCTCTAAAGCTCATGCTCACAGTGGCTAACCCCAGGCCAAAGAGTTAGCTTCTGTGAGTGCTCATTTAAGAAACACATAGCTAGGCAGAGCAGTAGTAGCTCAGGCCTTGAATCCCTGCAATCAGGAGACAGAGGCAGGTGGATCTTTGTAAGTTCGAGGTCAGCCTGGTACACAGAGCCAGTTCCCAGACAGCTATGGCTACAGACTGAAACCCTATCTCCAAACACCAAAACCAACCAAACAACCACCCACCACCACAACAACAAAACCACGCAGCTAATTTCCAAATAATTGGAGGATTTCTTATCCTTGACATACTTCCAGGGTGATTCCACTGTGGTCAGAGAACACACTGTATGATTTGAATTCTTTAAATATGCCAAGTAGTATGACCTAGTAGTAAATTATGATAGAGATATACACCCTGGCACTTTAAGAAATGTGTGTAAAACCCCTGCAACCCTGCAGTTAAAATAAAACGTGTGTGTGTGTGTGTGTGTGTGTGTGTGTGTGTGTGTGTGTGTGTGTTCTACTCCTCTTGACTAGAGTTTTGTATAGATGTTAGCTCTTTCTTACTGAGCCTTATTTTTTCTACATCATTACTGACTGCTCACCTACTGATGTTTTCAGTTATTAAGAAAGCCACAGCCAAGTCTCCAGCTCCACTGGGAGAGTGTCCCCTTCTCCA